ATTTTAATTTTTGAATTGGCAATTTCATAGCTTTGCATTGAAGTGCAATGTTCATGATGCACGAAAGGGTTTTACTGAAGTCCTACTCATTCATGAGTCCAATAAAGCAGAAACAGTAGATGAACTGTTTAGAGACCCTTCATTACACGAAATGGATCTTGATTTATGAAGGCACAGAAATGGATCTTGATTTATGAAGGCACAGAAATGGATCTTGATTTATGAAGGCACAGAAATGGATCTTGATTGATGAAGGCACAGAAATGGATCTTGATTTATGAAAGACTTTCGAAGGCTTTTGAGTAGATTTTACTTTACGGATTTTAGGAAGGAGTTCGCTGCCCTTAAAGGACGAAAGATGATCTTTTTTGCAGATGACACAGGTCGGCTTAGCGTCTTTTGGGAGTTTGCACGTGTAAATCAGGTGGTTACCATTACACTTGAGACAGCGCGGCTGTCGTTGCAAAGCATTTTGACAAAGGCTAAATCTCTGACAACAAAAACACTGAATCAGATTCTTACTAGATAGGTATCTTCTGATCCTCACACTCAGATTTTTCAAAGTCTTAACTGTGTAGATTTTTCTTCTTGCATCAGTATGGCCCACAGGAAGCATCTCTTTCTTGCGATTCGCGTATTTCCTTGAAAATTGTTCAACTTTCTGCACAGGAGAGCCTATCTGACAGAGTTCGGTCATGATACCATTAGGAGTCGTATCCACAGGAAGACCACATAATAGTGACTTATAGCGGAGTATCAGCTTTTGCTTGAACTATACTTCATGATTCATGAGAACAGTAAGTGCATGGATTCATTGAACACTGAATTTAAAGTTTATAGGGAAAGATTCTCGTGACAGAGTTCCAATAAAATCATCTACTCAGTTCTGATTAAATAACTATTCACTTCATTCCAAGTGACTTCCGGAAGGAGACAGATGACCGGCGATAGTCTCCCTTTTTTAGCAGTCGATATGAAATTGGAATCAGCATCAATCGTCTTTCCACACAAACAAGAACTTCTGAAGGTACAGTCGGCAGGGTTGTCCTGAGCTTTCTCAGAGTCCAGGTTGGCTGAGTCTGTTTCAAATACTTGTAAGTTAAAAGTAATGTTAAATCAAGTAAGTCAGTTTGAAAAATGGCTAAAAGGTCAATAAATGATTATGGAAATGAGGATGACTACATTCAGCTGGAACACCCGGCTCGGCCAGCTAAATTGGTTAAAGCAAATGATGAAATTCTGTGCAAAAGGGATTTGATAAGCTAGTGTGGATAAGGTCACATAAAAGAAGAAGAGACGAAAGATTTATATGGACAAGGATGTCTCGTGAGCATAAACTGAAAATTATTATTATTTTTTAACTTACAAATACGTTTTCAATAGTTGTTTAAATAGTCTTTATTAAAATAACTAAATCGTTGGCAATGTTAAAAACGCAAGCTCGATAGCCACGAATTGCTCTCATAAGTAAAATGTATAGAATTTGATTTTAAGGAAAAGGTTTAGGTTTTTCTCTTCTGAATTGTGTGTAGCCATTTTTTTTTTTGGGCGTTCAATAAAATTTTCATGTGGTGTTCCGTCATTAGCGTTTTCATTGGAGTTCAACATCACACCGTTGAAGCATTAACACTACACCACAGCAGTAAATATTAAAAAATTGGTAGCAGCGGGGGGATTGTTCCTGAGAGTAAATTTAGGAACGGACTTTTACGCCTGTGAACTTGAGTTTTATGTGAACAGTCAAGACTTTTTTCTCTTCAAGAACGATCTAATTTTGCGTGCAAGGACAGTTCGCGTGGTGAAGCCTCTTCAGTGACAAGTGACAGTGTGTCAGAAGGGAACGCCGGAGGAAGCGTGATCTAGTGCCGCAAAATAGTGAAATTTCCCGGAAGAATATCCAAGTAGTGCCAGGAGAGTCAATCGAAGGCGTCTTCAAAATTGGTGAGTACCATTTTTGTGATTTTGAAGAGGTTATGCCAGTTATTCGAGACTAGGTTTATTTTGGATATAGTTCTGTTTTTGGGGATCAAAAGTTTTCTGGTGGTTATTGAAAGTTAAGCAAGTGGTTACTGTTGCTAATTGAAATTAAATTGTTTGTTCTATTGTTTTAGTAACTGTTTAAATTGTATGAAGTATTGTAACGGTATGCTTTAGAAAAATTTAGTTTTTAAATCAGTCCAGAGTTAGAAGACAATATTTATATAGTTGATATAGAGCAGGAAAAGGTTGCCTCTTAATTAGCATTTTTTTTTATATACGCTTTGTATGTAGGCATAGGTATTATCATTAAGTGTTGTAAGGCAATTTGTGTTCAGAATTGTTAGGGAATTATTCAGTTTTGGAGAGATAGACCTGTTGTTGTTTTTGTGTTATTGTATTTCGGGGTAGGTTATTTTTCTTTAATTTTCCATAATGGGTGAGTTTATGAGGAAATTTACTAAAGCTCTGCTATTGGAGTTAGCGGAGGAGTTTGAAACAAATGTGTCTCAGGCAAATAGAGTAAGAGAAATTAGGCAGGCTATTCTAAATGCCGAGGACTATGAAGAAGAAGCTGCGAAAGAATACGCGGCAAGAATTTGGGCTGCGGCTGAGCAGAGAAAAGCAGAAGAAATAGCCGAACAAGAGAGAGCAGAGCGGGAACGTGAACAAGAGAGAGCAGAACGGGAACGTGAACAAGAGAGAGCAGAGCGGGAACGTGAACAAGAGAGAGCGGAACGGAACGGGAGCGAGTTTTTTGAATTGGAAAGGTTAAAACTGATGAATGTGGTTCAGACTAATAGCCTAGCTTCCACGGTTTCGAAAGTTGAACAATCTAGAGAAAAAAAAGGTTAATTTGAAAGATCTAGTACCGCGTTTTGAACCGAGTAATATAGATATTTCATTATTCTTTATGCTATTTGAGAAACAAGCTCAAAAAGAGAAACGTTAATGAGATTGATTGGGTCTCGCAATTAATTCCTTTATTACCTCACGATGTAGCCCAGTTAATAGTGAAATAGTGAAAGAACCAGCGGATAAAGGGGATGATTATCAGCATGTTAAGAAATTACTCATGCAGAGATTCAAGCTTAGTTCTTGGGCACTAAAAACAAAATTTGAAGAACATTCTAGAAAAAACGGAATGTTATGGGTGGATTTAGTGTATGAATTGAGAGTGTATTTAGAGAATTGGTTGGATTCAGTAGAAGTTCAAGATTTTGAAAGTCTTAAGGAACTTATGCTCACTGAGCAAATTAAGCGGCGAGTCCCTCTAGAAATAAGAGAGCACTACTTAGACAATTGGGAAGAATTTAAAACAGCTTCCATTTTAGCAGAGAAATGCGACAAGTATGAGGCTTTGCGAAGAGATACGAGGAAGTTAGAACAGAGAGCGGGGTTAAAGAAACCATTTGAGAAAGATAGAGAGCGGTATATAAATTCTAACTGTAGTTATAATCAGAAAAGTAGTGGTCATCAAAGAATTAAATCAGAGGAGCATAGAAAAGTGGAGGCTCCTAAAAAAAAGCAAGTTTTCAATGAAGCAGGTTTCGAGAAACAGCGGAAAATAAGGTGTTACCAATGTGGAAAGGACGGACATATCCGACCTAACTGTCCATCGCTGGAAAAGAATAAGGCTAATCTGGTGAATAATCTAGGAACGGAGAGTTTAGGAAAATGTTTTGAGCCGTATTTCAAGAAAGCAGTAATTAATGGGATAGAGAGAGAATATCTGAGAGATACTGGAGCTGGTATAGATCTGTGTAATAGTACTTGGATTAATACTAGTGACTTATTAGGGGAAACTGTATGGGTGAAACAGCCTTTGGACACAGAATGTAAATGTTTACCTTTGGCGAAAGTCACCATTGAAGGTGATTTTGGTGTGGTCACCACAAAGGCAGCGGTTACTCCGGTAGAGTTAGATAAAGAGTACTATTTGTTAGGGAATAAAACTGCACAGTTGATTGAGGAAATTAGGGAACGACCGGTTCTCTTGAATGCTGTGGAGACTCGTAGTCAGGCGCATGCGCGCAGGAGTTTAGAGAGAGCGAGTGCAAAAGACTTAGATTCCAGATCGGAAGAAAAGAAAGAGATAGAAAGTGAAAGGGCCGTCAATAATGAGCATTCGGAAGAAAGGAAGTTAACCAGTAATACGGAGGAGGCAATTAAAATTGCAGACATCAGTTTAGAAGAAAGGTCTATCCTTGCGGATGTTTCGCCAGCAGAATTCTTGGAAGCACAAAAAACTTGCGCTAGTTTAGCGACCCTGTGGAAGAAAGGGGAAAGTGAAAATGAAAAAGAGTTTATAATAGTCAAGGAAAGACTATTCAGAGTGGCAGGTTCTAAAAAAGGGGAAGATAAGCGTCAGCTGTGTGTGCCTCTCGTTTTTAGGAAAGGGATCTTGAAGTTATGCCACGAGGAAATCTCTGGTCATTTAGGGGTAACAAAAACCAAGGATAGAGTTTTGACACACTATTTCTGGCCTAATTGCTACCAGGAAATTGAAGAATTTGTGAGGACGTGCGATATTTGTCAGCGTGTAGGTCACAATAAGGATAAAAAAAAAGCCCCTATGAAGATTGTGCCTGTTATATCAGAAGTGTTTAGCAGATTAAATATTGATGCAGTAGGACCTCTGATCCCTAGTTCGCGTGAAAATAAATACTTAATTACGTCTATTTGTGTTGCTTCCAAATATCCAGATGCCATTCCTGTACAGAATTTAAACTCTAAATGTGTGATTCAAGCCTTGATACAAATCTTTTCTAGATCAGGTTACCCTAAGGAAATTCAGTGTGATTTGGGTAGATCGTTTACCAGTGAACTTACATCTGAGTTTTTTAGCAAGTTCGGAATTAAGGTGTATCATTCTTCTGTGTGTCACCCTCAAAGCAATTCTGTTGAAAGGTTGCATTCCACCTTGAAAAGAGTATTGAAGGCTTTGTGCTTGGAAAGCGGGAAGGACTGGGAAGAATGTTTGCCATGTGCTTTGTTCGCCCTCAGAACTGTTAGCCATGAGAGCACAGGTTTTAGTCCCTGCGAGTTAGTACATGGAAAAAATTTGAGAATGCCTCAAACGACTGTGTATGAAAACTGGCTAGAGGAAGAAAGTTCAGACCCCACTGTGGTCGAGTATGTTCTAGACTTAATAGACAGATTAAAGAAGTGTCAGGAGCTGGCTGTAGAGAGGATGAAAGAGTGTCAGAGTAAAAGGAAACTCTGGTATGATCGCAACGCTGTTACGAGAAGGTTTAAGGTCGGAGATCTCGTGCTTGTTTTAGCCACGTCTAAACCACACAAAATGGCTCTGAACTGGATAGGGCCAGGTAAAGTAACTAGTGTGATTTCCGAAACCAATTATACGGTAGAGATTCCGGGTAAGCGTAGCAGTGACACCATTTATCACGTAAATTTGATGAAACCTTATTATCAGCGCCCCGAGTTTGTGAATCTTGTGATAGAGGAGGTCATGGAAGATATTGAGGGAGAAGTGGATATTCCTTATCCCTTGGCTGATCCAACTCAGGTAGATTTTTGGAAAATAGTTGGAGATAGTAAGCTAGAAGAAAGAGCTTCGGCAGAGGAAATAGGAAAATTCCAAGAAGTTATAAGGAAGTATGGAGCGGTTGTTTTCGTTCCGACCCCGGCTGTACGTTTTTGGTCGAAATGGATATTAAATTGTTGGATGAGACTCCGGTTAGAGTCAGGCCTTACCGAATGTCGGCGAGACAAACCGACATCCTAAAAGAGGAAATTAGGCGGTTGCTTGAGTTAGGAGTCATAGAAGTCGGACAATCTGATTATGCTTCGCCTATGATCTTAGTAGAGGTCCCAGGTAAAGATCCTCGTCCTTGTATAGACTACAGAAAATTAAATTCAAGAACTATGACCGAATTTTTCCCTCTTCCCAATATTGAAGAAGTCGTAGAAAAAGTCAGCGCAGCTCCATTTATCACAATCATGGATCTAACAAAAGAATACTTCCAGATACCACTCACAGAGCGTGTGAACAGAGTCTAGTGTACGGAGGTATGCCGCATTTGTGACGCCTTTTGGATCTTTTATCCCGAAGAAAATGATGTTTGGGTTTTTAAATGCGCCTTTCTATTTTTGTAAATTGATCGCTCAAGTTTTAGGAGGGCTGGACAATTTTGTTCTACCGTATATTGACGACATCGCAGTCTTTTCGCCGACTTGGGACAGGCATATGAAGGATTTGGATGTGGTTTTAGGTCGCCTTCAGGAGGCTAAATTGACTGTTAAGCCCTCGAAATGCAAATTCGCACAAGACCATGTGAAATTTCTTGGTCATGAAGTAGGGTCTGGGAAAAGGTCGCCTAGTGAGGCCAAGATTCAAGCAATCAGAGATTTTCCGATCCCCATTACTAAAACACAGATACGTAGCTACCTTGGTACTGTGGGCTACTATGCAAGGTACATAAAAGACTACGCCCGTATTGCGGCACCTTTGACAGACGCTTTAAAGGGAAAGAATAAAAAAGTGATTTGGACAAAAGAGTGCGACGAGGCTTTCAATAAACTGAAGACCAAACTAGTAAAAAGTCCGGTTTTATTTGCACCAGATTATTCTAAAGAATTTATTGTGCAGACAGATGCCAGCTTATATGGTGCGGGTATTGTGTTGTCTCAAATTCAGGATGGAGAGGAACACCCTATATTGTATTTAGCAAAAAGTTTACTAAAGCGGAGCGAAATTATAGCACCATTGAAAGAGAACTAGCAGCCATTATTTATGAGCTGAAGAAACTAAGTCATTACTTAGACGGACAAAAATTCAAGATCCAAACGGATCATAATCCGCTGACTTTTTTAAACAAAATAATGGGATCAAATTCTCGTTTGACTCGCTGGGCATTGTGTCTCCAACAGTACAACTTTGAAATTGTTCATAGGCCAATCAAAGTACACGGTAATGCAGATGGCTTGAGTCGTGCCCTAGTCTAGTGACTGACTATTACTAGTGGATACAAAGTAAGGTAAAAAGTAATGAAAATGGGTGAAAATGATTTTTGTAGAGTTTTGGAATTATATTTGTGTAGATTCAAAATTGTTTGCATTGTGAAATTTCATTTTCAAAAAAAAAAAAAAAAAAAAAAAAATGTTAGAATTAAATTTTTTATCTTAAGTATTGGCATTGTGTAAAATTTGAGAAATATTCTTTGTATAAGGCAGACATTAGGAGTAGTTTAAATTATTTTTGTTGTATTTATGCGGTTATGTTATCTAGAAATAAGTGCAGGGCTTCTCTATTATCATTTAAATGGTTACCACTTGTGTTTGAAAGCAGTGAAATGTATTTAGAATTTTTCCTTCCATAGTCAAGAAAAATTTCTTTATGAGGGGAGGAGTTGTGATAAAGACACATAAAAGAAGAAGAGACGGAAGATTTATATGGACAAGGATGTCTCGTAAGCATAAGCTGAAAATTATTATTTTTTAACTTACAAATACGTTTTCAATAGTTGTTAAAATAGTCTTTATTAAAATAATTAAATCATTGGCAATGTTAAAAACGCAAGCTCGAGAGCCACGAATTGCTCTCACACGTAAAATGTATAGAATTTGATTTTAAGGAAAAGATTTAGGTTTTTCTCTTCTGAATTGTATGTACCCATTTTTTTGGGGCATTCAGTTAAATTTTCATGTGGTGTTCCGTCATTAGCGTTTTCATTGGAGTTCAACATCACACCGTTTAAGTATTAACACTACACCACACTAGCTATTCAAAACGAAACTGTAAGCGAGGAGTTAATGTAAACCCAGACTGGACTCGATAATGATAATATATCTGTTCAACGCAACAAAAATCGCCCTATTGTGGTCAAACCTGATATTAAATTTTCAGATTTCCTTAAAATTTTGAAAAACGAAACTAAATTGGGTTTTGTGGAAAAATTAACGGGGTGTGATAAAGTCACATAAAAGAAGAGACTGAAGATTAATATGGACAAGGATGCCTCGTGAGAATAAGCTGAAAATTATTATTTTTTAACTTACAAACACGTTTTCAATAGTTTTTAAAATAGTCTTTATTAAAATAATTAAATCATTGGCAATGCTAAAAACGCAAGCTCGAGAGCCACGAATTGCTCTCGCACGTAAAATGTCTAGAATTTGATTTTTGAAATAGATAGGTTTTTTTCTCTGCAGAATTGTATGTAGCCATTTCTTTTAGCATTCAATAAATTTTATTATGCTGTGTTTTGTTTTCAACCTGATGTCACAACCCAGGTGCATAGCGGTTTCGGCCACTACACCACAGGGGAATGTTTGAGGATTTTCTCCAAATGTGAAGACGATCATAGGGAAATTGCTAGATATTTAGACAACAAAAACGTTGATCACTATGTAATTACTACTAAGCTGGAGAGAGATCTTTAATGGGAAATATGACATAAAAATTTTCAAATTTTCAGTTTTGAACTAAAATAATAAAGTAGACTGAGACGATTCTAAAAATGTACAATTTATACATGTTCCGAAATTTTAAAAGACCAAAATCTTTCATTACAAAATGTAAACAACACAGCAAGTCCGCCAGTTTAGAAGGAACAGATATCTTGTGTGGTCACAATAAAGAGATATCAGGTGGAAGTATGTTCATAAACCTTCTTTGCCAAAACCTGTTATATTAGCTGTTAAAAGTGTGTTACTAAGTGTCTCTGTCAAGAAACTACTGTCAAACTTAATTCATCTTCCAAACTCAAAACCCCAGTGAAAGTTTAAATAATTGCATCTGGACACGCATACCAAAAATTGTTTTGGGAAGTATCATCACATTAAAACTAGGTTTTTCAGATGCGATAATATGTTTAAATGATGGTATACAAAGCAGCAATAAAGTAATCAAATTATTAGGTTATAACGTTGCGCGCCTCCAACTTGCACGCAACCAAGAGGTGACTGTGAAAGCTTGTATAAAAGATAGAGCCTTGTGAAGGGTTTAAGTCCCTTTTTATTCAACGTAATAAATTACAATTGCGTCCTCTTGACGCTTACAGACGGTGCCAACTTGGCAGTCAAATAAAAATAATAACCTGAAAAGAAAGTAAAGACAAGATTCTAACTACGAGGCTCTCTAAAATAACTAACTCACCGCTTTTTACAATACCGCTGCTAATTCAGCAGACTTGAAGCTCACTGGAACGATTACCACTACTTCCCGCCAAGCACATAGGCCGCAACGCGGGGTTCTTCAATTCTCGCTAACTACCTCCGCGCTCGCTAAGTAAGAATATCACACCGAACTCGTTTCCTTCTATTTAAATCATACTACTTCCGCTGATAATTCGAATCCTTGCGCGTTCTACTAAAATTTACATATTCTGGCATTGGCAATTCCAGGGGAAAGTAAGGCTTGACAGGAATGATAGTTTAAACTTAAAATAAATGTTAGTTAAAATAAATATAAACCCTACATTTGCCGCTGCCAGAATTTGGAAAACTTGGAAGCAGGTCCTACAAACGACCTGTTGTAAGTTTCTCTAATTCTGAACTAACTGGCGAGAACCTCGTTTACACACAACACAACACACACACACACACACACAAAAAAAAAAAAAAAAAAAAAAAAAAATCTCATATAACCATTTGTATACTACAATTCTGTTGATCTTACAAAGCTCTCTTCTTACAGCAACTTTTCCTGGACTTCATCAATCAATCTTGGTCTTTCCTTCCAGCATCTGGAAGGAATAAGTATCAGTATTTTTCTACATACATTATAATTTACACTTTCTTGACACAATAAATTTTTGTTTTTAACGATTCGTTTTTCTTACTTATTGCTTAATTCACATTCATTCCATTTTTCAAGCATTAATTTAACTTTACCCTGGCTCTTCACCGTGTGTGGTGTCAAACGGGAATATTCGTGTTTTAGTCTTACAACACTTCCCCTAACCACCATGATTTGTTAGAATTCAACAACCAAATAGACACACCTTACTCGACATTCTACAACTCAATGAGCTACTTTAATATTCTTAAAAATTCAAATGTAGGTGGAGAACCCTACAAAACACATTCATTCTAACTTCACTTCCCCCTCATTCATCTTTAAACATGCAGGCTTTCGCTCTACAAGCATGACTTTACAGTTTAATACTTAAATTTTGACTTCATTGCTTTTAAGCATTCACTTTTAGCATCTACAATTTTATGCTTCTAGACTAAATTCTACTTTTACATAACCTTCAAGTATTTACGTACATTTACAAAATTTAATACATATGCTTTTTACAATTTACCATAAAATGAATAAGAGAAATAAATTTTTACTTTACTCATTCTTCGCCAAGCTGGCGGCACTGAAACTTAAAATTCTTATTAGTACAAGAATACGAAGTTATTTTTATCTTCGGCCAAATTTTGGCTTTAACATAACAGAATTAGTCTTTCGACCAACAGAAAATGCTTGTTTTTAGCTTTTACACTTAAAGAAAATAATACTTTTGCTTAGCTAAATAAAGTAAAACAAAACTAAGTCTCAACCGAGACATATTGACTTTCGTCAAAAACATAGAACTTCGTACTTATGCATAACATTTCGGAACAAAAGAGAAAAAAAAATTTATAGAAGATTTTAACTTATCTTTGACTTTTCGATGCTTGAAACTCCGTCATCCGTTTTTGGCAAAATTGATCCCAAGTTAGAGGTTTCATGGATGTCAATCTTCTCCTTATTGATCTCCGAGTGTCGTCCACGTTGCTTTTTCTTTTGCTTCCTCTACAGCTGGCCTCTTGACGGAGTAATCGTTCTGGTTGTTGGCCTTTCCGTTTCTGCCTGGACGGCTGGTCTTGACGTCCTCCGGTCTGGAGTCCTTCTTGAATTTCTTCTCTTCCTCGTATTTTGTGTGCCTCCTTGCTGGCGTTTCAGTTCCGGAACGGCGCCCTTGCTGGCACCTGACTCTGTGGCCGTGTGCGCGTTCTCCTTGATGTGTAATTTCTCCTGCTATCCTTTGTAGGTGGTGTTTTTTTCTCTTTACACACCACGGTTT